TTCCCCCATCTCACACTGGCTGAGGCGCTGCGGGTTACACGGTGAGATGGGATCCTGTTTCGAAAGCCAGGCTGGGAAGGACCTGGGTCTTATCTGTCTCTTGCTACTGGGGCTTCACATGGGATATGGGTGTTCTGTTGAAGGGGTCCTTTAGAGTTCCAGGAATTCTGTAGCCTCAACGGTGAGCTCCTTGCTGGTCCAGTCATCTGCGTAAGGCTTTGGGGCTGCCTCAGGACTTCCAGGGGTCACTTTTTAGGTGACATTTACATGCTCAGCCATTGCTATTCAAAGCACAACCTTTGTGCTGAATTAGATGGATGCACAGAACTTTCTAGCTCACGATGAAACCAAACCAGCCCTTCTACTCATGAACCCTTGGGCCATTGTGAACAGCTGGAGTCGTCATCCTTGAGCCCAGCTTTCCTGAAGCCACCTTTAGTTCCAGGAAACAGTAGTGCCTTATCCATACAGTATGTTAATACGTCTTTGGTTGGGTGACATCTGCGCATCCAGTGGGTCTCCCCACTTGCAAATTCCCGAGTCATCAGAGCCTTGGCTGTTGGCTCCCAGGGGTTATACCTTCCCTGTGTGGATTGTTTCACTTGTACTCTTGTCACAAGTATTTCTAAGGGGTGTAGCAGCTTGGATGGAATCAAAGAAGGACATGTCATCCCTCTCTAGCTTCACAGTAAGTGTTCCCTGGTCCTACCAGCCAGAAAACACTGAAGGGATATGGGAAGTCACTCTAGTCATTCTCTCAAGAAACGGTGCACATCTGCTTCAAGGTGTTTTTCTTTTCTGCTTATTCTTTGAAACGATTAGGAAAAAAAAAAAAAAAAAGTTTGGCTTCAAGGTGACTTTCTGTCCTGCCTAGAAATAGCGGGAGAACCACCTGGCATCAAGAATGATTATCACCTTCTTCTTATTAGGAAATCTGCTCGGGTTGGGAGAATTTTACAGTTAAGCATACTCTACTCATGTCATCTGAGGCTCAGATTCATTGTAGAATTTAGGCAGGGCAGGACTCTTGCCTTCTTTAAGCTCAGATTTAACGGGTTGCCCAAGGCCATACAGTGAGAAAGTGTATGTGTGGGGGGCAAATTGAGAAGGAAGTTTGCCTTACTGAAGGAGGTCCTGTTTTATTTTTTTAAAAGGTTTCATTTATTTATTTGACATAGAGAGTGGGAGAGAGCACACAAGCAGGGGGGAAAGGAGAGGGAAAATCAGGCTCCCTGCTGAGCAGAGAGCTGGACTTGGGGCTCTATCCCAGGACCCTGGGATCATGACCTGAGCCAAAGGCAGACGCTTAACTAACTGAGCCACCCAGGCACCCCCGCCCCCCACTAAGGATTTTATTTCTTAGAGAGCGAGCGAGCAAGAGAGAAAGGAGGTCCTGACCTTGAGTGGCTCTTAGTCTAACTTGGCTTTCCCACTCCTGTGAGCTCTGATGTATTGGAGGGCCCTCATGTTGGAATACAGCCTCGGTGTGAAAAAAATCAGTGATAGCTTCTCAGCATCTTCTTCGGTCAACAGTTCACATCTCACCCAGCTGCTTCCAGGCCTGGAGGGTTGGAAAGAGTCTCCCCAGAGTTTTCACTGTTGAGCACAAACCTGATTCTCCGGGGAGCTCCTCTGTGCCAGCAGAGCCATGGCCATGATCTTGGAATCGGAGTGGAGTAAATGCCCATGGGAGTGCAGCAGGCTTGCACTCCAGGGCAGGGCGTCCATCGCAGGTGAACAGCACCTACACTGTGTAATCTGCACTCGCAGAGGCCTCTGGGGCTGGGGTGGGGGCGTGGCGATCAGCAGAGGGAAGGTGTTCCTCCGGGTTGTAGACATTTAGAGATAATGTAGATATGCGGATTGTTGGTACCGCTCATTTATGTGGTGTGTGTGTGTGTGTGTGTGTGTGTGTGTGTGTGTGTGTGTTTGAGCGAACTCAGCAGAACCTCAAAGTCTTTTTACTCTTGCCTTCTGGCCTGGAATTCCTGTTAAGCTGCTTGAAACTCACTCCTGGATTGGTGGGAGCTGTAGAGGAATCCCTCTGCCTCTGTCCTATTCTCTTTCTCCTACTCCCTCCTCTCCTTTTCCTCTTCCTTCCTTTTTCTTCCTTCCCCCAACTTCTTGCCACTAATTCATTTGACCTTAAATTTCCAGCTGTCCTTTCACGTACTTATGTGTGGTACCAACCCTGAGACACACAGAAGCAGATAGATATTTGGGGAGACTCTACTCTATACTTTCTGATTGGACCCCATGAGTGGAACTCCAGTTAAAAAATCAGTAAAAGCATTCTAAAGAGACCTGTGGCTCTTGACCCCACCACGAAGAAAGGGCAGCATCCTGGATGTCCCCAAGGTCTCTAAGGGTGGAGAGAACATGCACGTTCCTCGTCTCTGGGTGTCCAGTGCCTGACCCATACAAGGACGGTGAGCCAGAACAAGTGCCCTCAGGAGAGCTCCATGAAATGAGCTGAAGAGCTGGTACTAGAAATTCCAGGAAGAGGACTTGCCAAGGAGAAGAAAGCCACCTTTCCTTCAGAATGTCAGGAAGAGGGAGCCTAGATAATGGGCTAGGTATCAGCGTGCGCATTGTCACGGTTGAGGGAAGATTTCCCGTGGGGACGAAGGAGGCAGGCATTGTCTCTGTGATGCCCACAGTTCTGGAAGGTGTCTGTGATCAGCGAGCCTGCCCTTGTAAGAAGACCTCTGTTTTATGCCCTACTTACTAGTGAGAAGAAAACGACACAGGAAGTCCTATAGGGCATGAGAAATGCCTCATGCAGGGCCTCATGGGGGCACTTTGGGATTTGGTGATCTGTGAAATCGTGGAGTCCTGTGGTCTAGTTTGTCAGTCTGCTCAAAGTCAGAGGAGTTTAATCTGCCATAGAAATACGGCCAGCGAGCGGAGCCTGGGTGGCTCATCAGTTGAGCATCTGACTCGATGTCGGCTCAGGTCGTGATCTCAGGGTCATGAGATGGAACCGCACGTCAGGCTCTGTGGTCAGTGGCGAATCTGCTTGAGATTCTCTTTCTTTGCTCCTTCTTCTGCTCCCATGTGTGCACACGCTCTCTCTCTTGCTCTCTCTCACTCTCTCTCTCTCATCTAAAATAAATTTTTAAAATATTAAAAAAGAAAATGTGGCCAGTGGAACTGTATTCAACAGAAAATGCTCAGACCTTTTCCTAAGCACAAAGAGTCATCCCACCACAGATCGTATACTCAGTACATGCCTGGTCTTAGGAGCTTGATTTATTTTATGCTTTTTATGTCTGTACGGATCCCAGGAGGTCGGGGTGGATATGCCCATTTTTCACATGGAAAGCTGTGGTTACAAGGGGTGATGTCACTTGCCCAAAAAGGCCGGTGATTGAACTGTTTTGCTGGCTGTCCCTCCTGGTGCTAGACGGCTCGGTGCTGCTCTGACCTTCAGAGTCGTTACCCCATCCATCCTCGGCCACGGTGTCGGGCTTGCTGATAGATCAACTAGACCTTGACAGTGATAGAGAAAGGGCTGGTGCAGCAAATAAAAACAGAAAGGCATTTGCACACAAGGATCACTTCTACTTAAAAGCCACATCAATTTGAATCCAGCGGGTCTAAATAGGTCTGCATTAGCCTGGCAATTCTCTTTCCTTCATGATGAAGTGCAAATTAGAGCAGACACATCTAAGCGGCCTTGGTAACGACCTGGGACTTCACATGTTTTTCTTCCCTCTGCTCAAACTCCAAGGCAGGTGTTAGCTTGGGTGTCACTCTGCACTGGGGGCTGAGAGCGACCCTTTGTTCCCGTCTCCCCAGGATTCTTCAAGGCATCTGAGGACAATGCACAAGGCACTTGAGCTGTTTTTCTTTGCTGGTTGCACTGATTTTTCCTGTTATTTTCTGGGCTTTCTTTGTAAACATGCCATTTCTTTCTTTCTGTAGTGAATATAGAGGATCAACCTTTTTTGCTAGGAGATGGGTACATTTTGTTCCTTCACCTGGGATTTCTTGGTTGTTAAATAGATAGACGTGAGGATAAATTCTCACGATGCCTCATCACATACAAATACCAAGACTCCTGCCTCTTTTCTGTTGAGCCGTGGTTCTCTTCATCTGTAGTAAAATCTTCCCTAGCCATTTCCTGGAAGGATTAAGGAAATGTAACGTACATGAACTCATGTTGGAAGCTGCAAAGTACCGCACCGCTGGCCATTTTATGAATAGGTAATCGTTGCCTTATATTGTAGAAACATTAGCATTATTTATGTGAGAATGTTTTTTATATTTTCCCTAGCATGCAGTTTATGTGTTAAGTGGTTCTGAGAAATTCACCTGTTTGCTTTCCATAACTCTGGTCAGCAGATGCGGGCAAGTCTCTCATCCTCATGAGACAGACGTGTCTCCCCGAGGTTGAACTCAACGTGCAGACAGGGTTTAGGGATTAGGGTATACTTGGAATGCTTTGGAAGACACAAGGAGTTGAACAAGGTCCTTTAAAAACTTTATGTCTAGTACCATTGGAATTCACTTAACCTGAAACTCCAGACAGTGTTCTCCACATCATACATGTTATGTGAACAACATTTTCAGGAGAGAGATTCTGAGGGCACAAGGAGGTCCTTGGAGAAGGAAAAGAAGTTTTTGTCTTTATTTTTCTGTTCTTCACTTCCTCCCTGATTTCAGGAGAGGAGGATTGCAGAAAACCTCACAGAGGAGGGGACATGTGTGCAGGTGAGAAATTGAGTGGGCACTGATTTCCAACCAAGGAGCACTGCACAACAAGATCAGATCATGTGGTCTGTAAGGGATCAATAAGGTTCTTCTGAGATGACAGGCTAGTTCCCGCAACAGCAATCTTTATAGGGTGCGATGCCATTCTTCTGTGGTTTTCATGTTTGGACACCACGATGTGTCTGGGGGTCGTTACCGTCCTTGAGCTGGACTGACATTGGAGGAGGCCACAGGTACGGGACGGACCTGGAGTTCACGGGCTCTTACTCTTTCTTGTTTTGCAGACAGCAGCAGCCTGCACTCAGCCTACGCCCATGAGAACGCCGTGCACAGCAGGGTCTTTCAGATCTTGTACAGGAACGAAGAGGTCTCCATAAATGACGCCGTCCTCTTCCGGGCTCATTTGCTCTTAGATGGAGAAAGGGTAAGTCACGCGATCTGCTGCCAGCCACAAGGGCTTTTGTATCCATTGCTGGGTAAACGGGAAGTGAAGGAGGAGCCATAGATTTGCTCTGAAGTCCGACAGGATTCATGACTTTAGAGAACCCACGCACTTACTCATTTATGCTTTTTGTACTTTTTCTTTTATCCATATGCTTCCTCCTGCCATGTTCCGAGCAGTTTCCATCAGCTCCCTGACTGATGCTTTTGTTCATTCTTCATGTGCCCGTTTGTTTGTTGGTTCTGGGGCTCCGTCAAGGAGTCAGTCAGCAGATACCCACTGGGTATCTGCATTGTGTGGGGCTCTGTGTTGGGCCCTTGGCTGGGGGACAAAGTGGCAGGAAAGGTGGCAAGAACTCTACCCTCGAGGGATTGGACACCCACCGCCCTGGTGGGTGACGTGCACAATGCTAGCTGAGTGTTCAAATAAACAAAGGGCCCCCGGGATGGAGAGATGAGCTCTGTAGGGGGCATCGATGGTCCCGGCAAGGAGCTGGCTTCGAGACGCACAAACTCAGAGTCCCTCAGATGGAGGGAAGCAGAAAGGGCACCCCATGCAGAGAGGGTGGGCAGCATGAGAAAAAGCCCATAGACCTTGGGGATCTCATTCTGTTGGTAGGAAACTTGATAAAAAATTCTCTATTCCTCAGATTAACGTATTTTGAAGAAATATCTGAAGTCTAAGCCATTGCTCCCACTTGCCCAGTCCCACCTCCACTCCCCATCCCCACAGCCTGGCTGCTCATTTTTTGCTAGAAGACCTTGAATGACGTGGAAGTCCCTTCCCATTTTAGGAAAGTCGGATTAGAGGCATGTTCCCCACTTACATCCCCTAAGTGGTGCGTGGAACGGGCCCTGCTGGCCAGGTGACATCCTCCTCCTCCCCGTGGTTTTCTGTCCATGTCTTTCACGGTCTAGGTGGTGACCAGGTCCCGTTTTGTGGCCAGAGGTGAAAAATTGTCCCTCGTTCTTCATTCATTTATCATCTATCTGTCCCTCAGAGACAGACTGAGTACTGACTAGCACCTGTTAGTGGCTAAAGCTAGAATAAGAAAATATCCCTGGTGTCTTGGGGCTTGTATTTTAATGTCCGATGAGCACGTTACAGTGAAGGGAAGTAAACCGTGTGCCACCCTGTCCCTGAGCCTCGCAGTGCCCGCCGCTCGGCTTACTCGTCTATAAGGAGCACCCACAAGGGCCTGAGATTGGGAGTTGGCACCCCTGTTGGAGGGCCTGTGGGGCTACCACTGGACCAGCATGGAAGAGAGTGCTTGGCAGGGCAACTCTGCAAGGCTTCTGCTTCCTGATCACCCGGAGCTCCTGCTCCGACACAACAACCTTCACACGAGATGACGCTTATTCCCTGGAGGACAAGGGACAGGCAGGAGAAGTCAGCACTGAGTGAGATCACAGTGCCGAGGAGCTGGGCGTGCGAGGCGCTCGGGGAGACGGCATCCCTGGGGGAGGGCACAGCAAGGACAAAGGCCCTGAGGTGGGAATGAGGTTGATGTGTCCCAGCAAAAGCAATAAAGCCAAGGTGACTTGCACCGTGAGTGGAGGGAAGGAGCAGGAGGTGAAGCTGGAGAGGCGGGTGGGGCCAGACTTCCTGCTGCCGGTGCGTGGGAGGGAAGCCGGGCTCGTTCTTGCTGGTGGGGAGCCACTGATTTGGTCTGAAAGGTGGAAGGGCGCGATGTTCCTCTTAGATTCTGCCCCTCACCCCCTCCCAGTTTGTGAGCTTCTCTGTCTCTGCAACACCGGTGCCTGCCATCGGACTCAGTCAGAGACACCCAGCAAGTGTGAGCAGATGACTTGGTGAATGAACAAATTCAATTCAAAATCCCTCCTTTTAGGGCCTTTGGAACCCCCTTCTCTCCAGGCAGAAACCGGTACCTCCAGGGCCTGTTAGCCTTCAGTTACACTGAGCCTCGTCTCCTTGTGCCATCACAGTGACCTGGAACGCTTTGTCTGTAACTGACATCCGGGAGACCCAAAGCAGCTCCCGTGAGCTGGGCCCACTGTCTCCTGACGGCTGGTGCCCTGCCCCCACCTTCCCCGCCCACTTTGGACCCTGGAGCCGATTGCATGCATTGCCCCGGAGTATCCTTACCTTCTGGTCTCTGTTTGGGTTCAGCTTGTGAGAGGCCTGGTGGTGACTGGAGGGAAGGTGGGAGAGTGGGATCCTTCCACGGGCTCCTTCCATGCTGGGTGCAAGAGGGCTGCTCATCCTGTGTGCGGGAGCCTGGCTTGTGAGAGCCAAAGGTACACGTCTCTTTCCACCTCCCCATTCAGCGATGTCCCGTTCAGCTGGAAATCGGTTGTGGTGGAAATAATTGTGCCAGAGAAATCAGCCATGCTGCCAATGAGGGTTTTTAATTTTCCTTCTGAGACCCGGTTGTTAAACGTTTAGCCAAGGCCTCAGCTCAGGACAGGGGGCTCACTCCACGTGGCTTTCTCCCCAGTTCTGATAACCAGTCCCTCTGAATGTGTCTCCTGGCCCCGGGCGGCCCAGATGTCCTGCAGTGACCAGCCCTGACACCCCGGCCCTCGTCTGTGGCTCCCATACACTGTCCCCACCCCCTTGTGAGTCAGCACTTTCCTGAACCACACATAGTCTTCATTTTGAGAGCATCCTCTGCTTCCTTCCTGCCCAGTTTAGGAAGAGATCGCGGAGGTTATTTTGAGCGTCAAGGTCTCCAGACAAGGCTGTGCGCCCACACATGTCTCACACAGATTCTCACAAGAGAACACTGGTTTACCTCTCGTGGACCATCGTCATTTGCCACGTTGACCTCAGAGCCCTTCTGGGCAGCAGCTACGTTGGGAGGCTGGGTTTGGACATTGCCCGGGTGTGTTCGTCATCTGTCATCTGAATTTAATATGTGCTCCCACCCAGGCAGTTTGTTGCCTTTCTCAACGTCCAAGTTCAGCTCACGTGAGGTTGTAACAAGCCTCGGTTTTGACGTTGACTAGGGAGTCCTTGTGACGATGCACATTGCTCCCTTCCTCTACGGAGTCACGCATCTCTATAAGCCAGTAACTTGTTGCAGCCTTGGGGTACTCCAGACAGCGGCAAACAATGCCACCCAAGTCAGTGACGGCTAAAGTTAGTTAGATAGGTCCATAAACACTGTGTATTGAGCAGAGAGGCATTAGCTCTTTTTCAGTGACTACCTGTGTTTGATAACCAAAACACTGTCTATAGCCACTTGGCCAGAGCTCATGTTCCCGCATGCACACAGCCCCTCACTGTGGACAGTGGACACTCATCTGATGGCTACACGTCAAGCATATCGTTGCCCATGCTATGGAAAATATAGACACAAAGATTGTGTCTGCACTGTGAGGGCATGGGTCAGTGCAAGACACGGCCATGGACAGAAGCCATCCCAGCTTAAGGCTTAGGATAGGTTGTTTTCATGACAGTTGCGAAGAGTGAGTGTGAAAGTAGGATGACTGTTTCATTTGCATACGCTCTGTGTAATCACTCAGAGAACTTGGGAAGGCTGACAAATGCCTAGAATAGTAAAAGGGGAGAACAATAACAACAACAGAGTTAGCCAGAATAGAGGAAAAACATGAAAAGGGGGTGGAAAAGCCGGGAAGCCCGGGATGAATGTCATAGACCAAAGTACACCAACATGGTGCTGGGCATTGCTAACGGCAGCTGCACAGTCAGCGCTGAGCTCCCCAGCAGCCCAGGCAAGGAAGGCTGTTCTCAACAGCAAGATGCTTGGTGCCCTGAGAAGGAGGAGGAGCAGATTACACCAAAAAGTCTTTCTTGATAAGTTTGCATTTTTATAGGGTTAAAAAAGGAAAGCATCTCTTGAAGTGTGACCCCTTCTCGTAACCACACCACAGAAACCCGGCATGCTTGTTCACAATGCAGATTCTTGAGCCCGTCCCAGACCTAGTGAGCCAGGCAGACGGAGTTGATTCAGACTTGGGAATCTTCAAGGGATGCGTGGAATTTCCACAGGAGGCCGTGAAGGGCTTTTGAGACCGTGGGTAGCATATTGAGGGCAGGGAGAAGCAGTGAGGTGGAAGGCAGATCTGGGGAAGAAACATCATTTCTGGTGGGGTAGGAGGCGGCACAGGTGCGAGGCTGGACAGGAGCGTTGAAGACTCAACACACAGCACAGGCCTCGCTGAACACCATAGATAACCTGTTCTGAGGCTCCCTCAGGAGTCAGGAGGAGGAGAGCTGGGATTGGAAATAGAGAAAGTGGGGTCCAGTGCTCCAGAGAATGGGGGCAGAGCTCTGGTCCATGCATGCTGGTAGGCACCATGGCAAAGGCAGCCACAGTGGGGATGGGTGGAGAGAGGGAGCTGTGTTTCAGCTGAGCGCAGCGACCTGGGCTCAGGTTAAGCGTAAGGGACGTGGCACATCCTGTAGTCAAGGAAGGTCGGTGGGCGTTGACTGTATTTTGGCCGGATAATGGGCTTGGGATCCATGGACAGTCCAGGTAGTTAGAAGAAGACCGTTTCTTTTTGCGGAGTGGTAGGAATTCAGGTTGAGTCATGATAACACACCCAGGATCTTAACATAAATACCGCTTTGCATTTATAAGGTGTGTGTTGTGTGGCGTTGTGCTGAGTGTTTTGCTTGGGAGAGCTCACCGAATCATCACTACAGTCCTGTGATGTATCCTACAGATGAGGATACAGAGATGTAGAGAAAGTTAGTAGCTGGAGCGAAGTCCTGCCGCTAGGAAGTGGTAGAGGTGGGATTTGAACCCAGGCAGCCTGACCAGGACATCTGTGTTTACGAGCGGTATGCAGGCCTGTGGGTAGCGTTGGTGCAGGGAGGGTCCTGAGAGGGCGGGGTCAGTCCCCCAGGAATTCAGAAATAACAACAATAACTAGTATTTGTTGAGCATGGTCTTTGTTCGTACACTGAGTTCAGTCCTCTTTGTGCATTTTCTTAGTCACACGACAGCAGTGCTGTCTAAGAATAAAGGTCATATTTATCCTCATCTTCCAGATAAGAAAACCAAGTTAGAAAGGTTAATTGGCCCAGGGTAGAGCCAAGAATGGCACCCAGGTAGACTGATTTCCACTGTTACCTTCTTTCCCACCGGGCTGTGCTGTAGCTCCGGAGAGACACTGAGAATGGAGGGGAAGATGCGAGAGTCACATTACGAGGGGCGTCAAAACCAACTGGGGAGAGAACGCATAACCCAGCAACTCAGATGGGACCACGCAAAAAGGCCAAAGAAGCAGATGAGCCCTTGACCGAATCTGGGCCGTGGGCCTCACTCGCCAGTTGACCTTGGGAGAGCTGAATTGGGAGCTCGCTACTATACTGACCCTCAAGGTCCTCATTTGGGAATGGAGACAGTATTTCTGAATTCATGGTTTTGTCCACGTTGAATAAGATAGAATGGACAGTGGAATTCCCAGGATCTCCTCTGCAAATACTAGCTTCTGTTACTATGTCCAGAGCTACACCACATGGCTTGCTGGTGCTAGACATTGACTCTGAAAGGGAGGTGATGTCTTTAACCAAATAGGGCAGAGCAGTGGAAGGGCACACGCACAAGTGTTCATGCATGTGTGCATGTGCAAATGTGTGCATGTGTGTGTAACCTCCTCCATGTGCCCATGCACGAGTGTGTGTGTTTGGAGGGACGGGAGGGCAGCCAACAGCCAAGGGCAAATTCGGTGGTTAGCTTCATTCTGGAGCCTCCTGGAATTAAATTATTGAGACATCAGTAAAGTCGTAGCCAGGCTCAATCTAGCCAAAGCTCATCCTGGCCCGGGATTCCTCTCCCGGTTCCAGAGGATTTGCAGCAAGTTTAAAACTGAAGCTCACAGTGAATCGTTGCTAGCCAGCATGCTCAGGAGGTGGTTAGGCGGCCTTCCTTTGCCAATCTCACTTCCTAGGAACGGGTGGCAAGAGGCTCCGTTGCTTGGGTTGTGTGTACGAAGCAAGGTTTGCGATTATGCAAAACAAAGCTAGAAGCGGAAGTTATTCATAGCACTTGGATCCAGCAAAATGTTAACTTTTAAAAGCTTTTTTTTTTTTTGAACAAATTTTAAAACCCTGGGGACCTAAAGATAAATTCCATCCATATGTCTCTGCTGAGTTATGCTTAACCAGGAACGTGTTTCCAGAGATGCCTTTGGGTAAGAGATTTCCACCCCTGTGGGATGAGGACATTTGCAAAGAAACAAAACCCAAAAGGAGTGGGGGTGGAGAAGAGCTTTATTTATTCCTCAGGATACACGAATACTTTCTATGTGGCAGGCTCTGTTCCAGGAGCTGGGGATCCAGAATGAATTAAGACTACTCTCTCTCTTAATGGTGACTGATTACTGTGGACACAAGGCAAGAAAATGGCCAGGGGGGTTTGGCCACAGGCCAGTTGGGGACTGTCCGTGAATGTGGGGAGCCTGATCCAAACCCGGCTTCTAGATGGCAGCCCTGTGCTACCAGATCCAGGGATTTTTATTTATTTATTTTTTTAGTAGAAGCTGGAGACTTGTGATAGAAATGTGAAGTTGCCCGATTTTTGAATGTTTGCAATTTGGGAGTTGCAACTTGCAGCTTTGTGCAGACTGAACAAAATGTGTCTGTGGATACAATCTGGCTCACTGACTTTCAGGTGAGAAATGTGAAGCAATTGTAATAGGAAGCATCGAATGCTGAGAGAGAAATTAGAAACCAGCATTTTGTGGGTTTCAGGGATGAAGAGCTCCGGCCAGTCTGGCATGGGGAGGAGCCGGAGTTCCGGTCCAGGAGCACAGTGCTTACCTGGGTTTCTCCATGGAGCAGGAGCAGCAGGGGGATCTGGTTTTTGGCAAGCAATCTTCCTGGAGATGGGGGGAGGGTGTTCAGTATGGGAAAAGAAGAATGAGGGGTGCCAGCTTTTAGGTGTATGTGGGAAGCTGGCAGGTAGAACCAATAGATCCCTTTGCGAATTGATGAAAACAGGAAAGTTACAAAGGAAAGCAGCTGTGGATAGGACAGGAAATGCCAAACTGTCCCAAAGTGTAAATGGTTGAGTGTAACAGACCTCAAGACAAAAACGAAAGCTCTGCTTTCTTAGGAAGCTGAGCCACCTTGGAGAGTGACTTCACGTTCCTGAAGGTCAGCAGCCTTCTCTGGACACCCGGACAGTGGTGCCCAGCAAGTGGGCGTGCCTGAGGGCAGAGACACTGTCACCTGCACAGTCGTCCCATCACTAGCCAGATGGGGTTTCCTGTGGGCAAGTTCACAGCTAGCCCCCCTTCCCAGAACAGGTGTCACGGAACACTTCCCTCCTGCCTGAAAGGATTCCAGATCAAATCCGTTGGGGAAATAAAGTTCTCAAAAGTCCTGTGATATAGCAAACTTATAGCAAACTTATTTAACTTTTTTTTTTTTTTTTTTTTTTTGGCACATTGACTTTCCCCCTACGTTTGACTACATAAATCTCTTCCTTCTGTTTTCCTGGGAATACACACAGATCTCCCCTTCAACTGGGATTCCATGGAATGTGCATGGGAATTCCGCTTTACAAATGGAGTGAAATTAGCCTTGTGGAGAGAGGCTTGTCTTAAACTGTGAGAAACAGACCAGCCACGTTTTTGATCTGGACCAGATCTGACCCTTAACTCCTCCGCGCTTTCTCTTGCAGGTGGAGGAGGCGCTAAGTGAGGTCGATTTTCAGCTCAAGGTGGATCTGCACTTTACGGACAGTGAGCAGCAGTGAGTGTCCCTGACGTCCTTAACGGTGGGCCTGTGGTTTCCTCCCTCCGGCCCTTCCCTGCCCCTGGGGCACCTCCTGGCCCTGAACCTTAGAACATGGCTCAGGAAAAGGTTCCCGAGCAGCAGCTACAGTGGCCTCCGCGGCCACAGCCCACCCAGCCACGGGGCTAGGGTGTGCACGTGGTCACTGCTGATGGCATGCATTTTAAGCCGGTCGCTTGTGTGCTGCGTGCACAGAAAACAGCCGGCCCGCTTGCCTTCATTATCTGGCACCATCTCGTCGCTAGCACCTCCATTCATTTTCAGTGCAATATTATTTTCATTAGGTCTTTAAATGAATGACCGTACTCTGAAGCAGCAAGTCTCAAGGCTCCTTCTGAATCCAAGGAGATTCGGCCGGGATTCTGCGTCTTTGTACTAAATGTCCGCTATTATGTTTCAACTCTCTGAAAATTGAAAATCCATTTATGTGTAACCTGCTGAGTAAACAAGCAGGAGACAGCGGCTTTTCTTCCGGGAACTGCTTCCTCTCGGCCTGTGCTGGGGCCTCCTCTCCTGCTCGGGCGAGCTGTCAGCTGCAGGTTCTGTGAGGTCAGAAGGGGATGGTCCCTATTTCCGGGATCATAAGTCCAGTCAAGGATATTAGCAAAACTGGAACCTCTCATCCGGTTTCTGACCTCTTCTTTGCCCTCGTCCCCGCCTATAGCCCACCACCCCTAGCCCCAGGCTAGCTCAGGTCAGGAAGCTCCCGGTGCAGAGGAGGGACGGTGGGCGGCTTTGTACTTGTTCCTGCCTCCTTCCCGGCTGGAGTGTGTGGACCTTGCAGGGTCAAGTGCAGTAAGGAGGAAGGAGATGGCGGGGGATGGGGGGTGGGCAGGGGTCATGCAAGGCAGATTTAGTTGTTCTTGGGGTATCCCTATACATTCCTTGGGGATCTACTCGTTAATTAGTCAAACTTCCTCACTCCCCCACCTCCAACCCTGCAGGTCTTTGATATAGCCATGCTTCCTGTGCCTGGCTCATCTGCTCCGTGCAGGGAGCTCTTCTGGCATATTCTTCTCCAAAGAACCCACATTTGGGCCTTGGGAAATGAACAAAGGCACTTGAATCCCTCACTGGTGGGGCCTCCCTCCCCCTGCAATCCTGCCCACTGTGGCCGAAACACCCACCCTCAGCTTCTCTCATAAGACTTCTGCAGGATGTGGCAGGCACAAGGACCTACGTTCTCCCAATTCTAAGGGACCCAGAGCAAGCTCACTTGAAGATCCCTCTCATGAGGCTTACAGTTATGGGCAAGACACTCCTTTCCCCTCTGTTCTGTTAGCAGACTCTCGGAGAATTATTCTGACCACTCTCCACAAATTAATCTCCCCTTCTGGTGTCTACAACCACTTCAGCTGATGCTCCGTGCTCTGCCGTGGATAATGGAGAACCGGGTGGCCAATGGTCTGATGCAGCTGGAAAAGTCCCCCAATCCCCTGATCCCTTCATCCCTTCAAGTTTCAGACTCCCTCCCGAAGCCTTCTCCCCTTTCTCAGGGACGGCCTCATCCCTGAGATGCGTCTGGTTGTTATAGAAGTTTACATAACATGAGGAGTTGAAGCAGACGGGATTCTTTGAGACGTCGGTGATCCGATGTTTTTGCACCTTGAGAATGGACATCTGCTGATGTATAGATGGTCACGTCTAGTGTCCTGGGCGTCAGGAGTATCTGTCCATGGTCCTGCCATGGGGTCTGGGCTCAATAGCACAGATTGCTCATTCTTGTCTGGACCCAGCCCTTCTGGCCATGCATTTCCCTCATACCTGCTGCTTACTCCTTCGTGGGATGGTGGATGCTTGGGAGATCTTATTCTCCTCACACCATCCCCATGGTTTATTATTCTAGAGCCATACTGAACTCAGAGACCCTGTAGGAGGCTGGCTTTCTTCCTAACCTAGAGACTCAGAAGTGAAGCTCTTGGCTCTGGTCTCATATGTCCCCTCAAACATCTGTGATTTCTGTCTTTCATGCATCTCATTAATCCACCTGTATTCTCTTCCTGTGCCTGCTTCCTTCAGAAACATCCATCTGTCACTCCGTGGTAGACATTTCTAAGTCATCAGAGAATCCTACCCCTCAGCCTAGAAGTCCTGCATCCCACCAGGCAGCCTGAATGATAGTCATGGTAGACCCAGGAATTGAGACCATCTTGCCATCAAAACAGTAGTTAACAGAAATGGGCACAAAGTGCATGAAATTCAACATCTCACACTCTGTGCTCATCAACCACAAGATGCTGGTCAAGTCCCAGAATGTTCCTACATCTCAGCAGCCTCATTTATAAAATGGACATTATTATACAATTGGTTCCTCATCAGTCTGTTATGAAGATTAACAGAGACAACATCTCAAGTGTGTGGCTGGCCTAATCAATGTCTTCTTCCTCTTTGTGGCTTCCTAGATGCACACGGGTCCAGGGTTCCCTATGTCCCTTCCTCTCGGCAACACAGAGCACTTAATCACAATCAGAACAGGGGGGCTTCATGGAGTATAAGATTAGCTAAGAGGAACAGGAAGCAAGGGGCTGGCGAAATTTCTAATGCCATATTTTTTTCATTTTCATAAATTGGTTTTAAGGATGAGACAGTGTCTGTAGCACATCCTGGGGACACATATTAGACTTTGAAACATGACCCAGGCAGAGGCTTCTTTAGAACCACGTGGGCCAGAGTGGAGACCAGTCGGAGAAGCACCGTGCACAATCTCAGGGATTTCGAAGGTCTCATGACCCCCATCTCCTCCAGTGGTTCCCTGTGGGCAGGGAGATTCTGTCCCCAGGGACATGTGGGCAACATCTGGAGACATTTTTGATTGTTAAGCACAGGGTGCTGCTACTTGAACGTGACGGATGGAGTCCCTGGATGCCAGTGAAGATCTTGCAGGGCACAGGACAGCACCCCCTCCTGGCAGATGGTTATCCCATCCCCAAGGTCAAGATCAGCCTGCTCTCGTCTTCCCTCGGGCTCGCACCTGCTACACTGTGAAGGTCCAGGAGCATACGCCTGCATAGGGCAGGGAACTCACTCCTGCCCATCAGATCCCATTCTGTCCCTGGGCAATTCTGCCCATGAGGAAATTCTTCTTCATTTAAGCAACAAGTCCTTTTTGTGTGCCTTCCCTCCGTTCCCCTGGATTTTAGTCCGAGCAACCACTTAGAAAAATTCTCAGTCAGGTTGACCCTTTAAGATCAGGTAAACAAGACTTTTTGATAAAGTCATCTCTTCATCTCCAATTAAATATCAGGGCTCTTTCTCTATGTTTTGTGTTTTTTTTAATTTTTTTTAAGTTCCTTTATATAAATGCAGACACTCTCCTCTCAGTGCTCTCAGGTTTACCTCTGTCCTTTCTACATTGAAACCACTATGGACTGATTTTTATCTCCATTGATTGGTTCTAGCAACATTTTAGAGCACAAAACAGCTATCACCTCCTTTATTCTGAGGTCTTTACTCCGATTAATGTGACTTAAATTCTTTTTCACATTTTTGACATCTTTACTACCCTGACATGTACTTCACCTCTATTGTTCTAGCCTAAGAATATCTCTGTGATTCCCACAAGCCTGTGTATGAATGGATTCCAATACAGTCCGGTAATACAGAATGGACTGCGTGGTCAGATAAATGCAGGTCTGGCATTCTGGTTCTGTCTTAGGACTTGGCACAAGTCAGTTTACTCATGCTGGCTTTACTTCCTTGTCTGTAAATGGAATAGTGCTGGGAAAGACCTCATATGATCATCATATGGGTTAAGGGAAAAGCACTGGATTCTGTTCACGGTAAAGCCTCAGTACATTGTTCTCAGAATTAAAGTGACTATAAATGTTAATGACTTTCGGAGGCTCAGGAGGGATCCTCCTAGCCCCTTCCAAATCATGCTTCTCCTTGGGAAGAGAGGAGGCCCTGTTTGTGGTCTGTTCATGGAGTCACACGGGGCTGCTATGATTTGGGTGTTTGGCTTTCCTTTGCACACAAGGCATAAGCAGCAAAGATTCCAGGAAGCAGCATTGGGGCAGGTCTTGCAAGTTTGCTACCCTTGTTCTCTCTGTGTCTCATTTCCCCATCTGTGGAGGAAGGAGAAGTTTGTCTCTGACTATTCTCTGAGCTTCTGCTCTACTCATGTCCATCCAGGCTTCCCAAGTGCTCTGGCTCAGAGAAACTTGGAGAACCTGAGGGATTAATTTCCAGAGCTTGAGATTAGCACTGGAGGAATTTTATTTAGAGAAGAAGCAACCCTATTTTTCTCACCAGAGGCTCTGTTGGACCTTGCCTACCAGCCAGTTCGTCTCTTGGGAATCAGGCACCAAAGACAAAATGCTAGAACAAAGGTCGAGGAATCCATGATAAAAGTGGTCAGACTATTTAATCGGTATGCTTAGGAACTCAGGAACTTAGGAACTCAGCATTTTTCTCAGACAATTATTCTCTTCAGTAAGCAAACACTGGACCAGCTTCTATAGTGTGCAGGATAAGATGCTAGGTGTTGGGGATAGAAAGGCTGATTAGTCACATTTCCTGGCCTTAGGAGCTAGAGATCTAGTAGCACAGACTTACAAAGGAAGTGCTTTCCTGCGCAGCGTGCGGGGGGAGGGGAAGGAGCAGTGAGGAGGGAGATGTGCAGTGGGGGAGGGAGGGGAGCAGTGGGGGAGGGAGACCATGGAGGGCTTCTATGTTGAGATGAGCCCTGGGAAGGGTCTGAGTGTGTCTCCATCACTGGCCTGACAGGGGGCTTGGTGTCCACCCCTTGGAGCCCCTGGGCTGCTGAGAGAGAGAAATAGCTGTGTGATGCCTCCTGACTTCTTTTTCTTCTTGGACACGGGGTTTCTTCATCTGCCAATCACAGGAGAAATGATTTCTACCAGACAGGGTGATTGTAGGGATTGACTAAGATGATGTGCGCGTGGTGGTGGGCCCGGGGAGAGGCTGTCATGCAGACCTGTCTGAGTGACAGCAGGGCTGGCCCGCCGTCACTCAGGGGCACGCACTCACTTGCCTTCCAGGCTGAGGGACGTGTCTGGGGCCCCCCTGATCAGCAGCCGCACGCTCGGCCTACACTTCCACGCCTGGAGGGGTCTGCACCACCAGGTCCCCGTCATGTTCGACTACTTCCACCTGTCAGTCATCTCGGTGACCATCCATGCCGCCCTCGTGGCCCTGCAGCAGCCCTTGATCAGGTAGGAAGCGATGACCATGATCCCGGAGGTGCGGGGGCGCCGCTCTGCCTTTCTTGTTACGCTCCATCCCCGGGGCAGCTGGGGGGCTCTGGCCTGGCTGGGGTTGATGGGGGCCGACCACAGGAGCTTCTCCCAGGCTGACTATCAAGGCTCTGGGCCTCCCTCAGGAGTTGGGGTGAGGTGAGTGGCGTGTGGGGAGTGCATCGGGAGTCAGGGGTGCATGGGCAGGGAGCCGGGGGCTGAAAACCTGCCAGCAGTGGATCATACCTGGACCCCGTGCCAGGCTTTGCTTATTCTAATGATGCCTTAGCTGAGAAGTCCCCGCATGTCCCCGATACACGCTGTCTTCATCGCTAAGCCAGGAGCCCTCATGCGGCGCAAGTGCAGAAGAGGATGTGGCCAAGCCCGGGGCAGGGGCTCTGTCTGCTGGCCCCTCCCTGGCTTGCTGTTTGTTCCAAAGCAGGACCCTGAGGTTTCAGGAATGCCACAAATGGAAGAACAGAGCTGGTACCTTGTCTTGTGTGCCTAGCATGGCCAGACATAAGCCAGGTCACTTCGAAACCTTGCCTGTGCTCACGGGCATGAGTTGCTTGGGATATTCATGGAGAGAATATGAGCCTGGGAAAGAGCTAAACTTCCAGGGTCCCTTCTCAGGATAGCTTCTGTGCACTGGGAGTTAAAATGCCTGTGGGGGACACTGCAGTCCCCAGTGATTATTGTTGGGTAAGGCCCAGGTTGGGGTCAGTGAATAGGGAAGGAGGAACCTGGATCCTGGCCAGGTGCCATGGCCAGGAGATGCTGCCCCGGAGACCTTCACTCAGTCCCTGGGCCTCTTGGCCGAGCTCCATCCTGGGTTATGTTTGCTGATGGGTTTAATTCAGACACTGACCTTGAATGGTAGACGGGGTGCCTGTGTATCAAGTCAACAATAAGTCCCAAGTCAAGAAATGTGGGCCGGAGAGAGAAAAGCTCAGTGGACTAAGAAAGCCTAGTTTCTGAGAGCAAAGGGGGCCCTGCATAGGGTGGGCCTTGAGCAGCATTGGATTTTGAACTGGGTAGAGTCTTTGGGGGGTGGTTTTTAGCTTAGGGCCCGTGAATGGAGCCAAGGACACTGGAGGTGGAGAGAGCTGGTGTCATGGGCTATGTGTGCAGAGTGCCTGGCCCCTCGGCCCTGCTGGCAAGCATGAACAAGTGTGACCTTCTCCTGCCCATCATGGATTGAGCTCCTTCAAGGAAACTAGACCTCCGGAAGGGAGCCCATGGGACTACTTATCGTTCTTTCTCGGCACCTGTACTGAAGGCCTGCTGTGCCCCAGGAATGGTGTTAGGACCCACACAGTATACCAAGGAGTCATTGCTAAAGATGCTTCCCTCAGAGAATGCAGAATCAAATGGAGGGAGCCCCTCGGCTTGGATGGCATTATCCTACAGCAGATGCTGAGCAGAGTTTGACAGAAAACATGGCAGAAGCAAATGAAAGCAGACCCGAGTTTGGGAAATCGCAGGAGACAGAGTCCAGAAAGCAGCAGACAGTATGAAGACCCTGTAAGGCTGCCCCGCTGGCTGTGCGCTCGCTCTGTGGCTCGGCGGAGAGTGGCCGTGGGGCAGACATGAGGTCACAGTCCGTCTGCTGTCAGGGATGCAGGGTGGATGGCTGGTGGTGCTATCCTGTGTGAGTGGCCGGACCTCCAGGGTCCTGAAGGTGAGCCGAGAGTCCGGCTGGGAAAGCAGAGTGCCCTGTAGGCTGTTCTGGGTCCCAGAGACGGAGCTCCTGAGGCTGGGCGGCTTCAGGCCCAGCCTGATGTCTGGGACTTCCAGGTAATTTCTGGGGGTCGTCAGAGAGGTATCTAACCTCTCTAAGAGTTTCAACATCAAAATAGGAATGGGAGAAATGGAGGGAGGAAGGAAGGAGCTAACTTAAGAAATGAGTAGGGTTATGAGCCCAACAGAAATGAAGGGGATACAACGAGACGAAGCTCACATCGTGTGCCGCACGTGGTGAACGCGGGCTCGGTCACGGGTGGACACCCTAAGCTTTAGTCATTTCTGGAAAGGCTGAGCCACGAAGCCCTGGGATGACAGATTGCATCCAGGACCCTGAAAGGCCTGGAGGCTGGTGAGGCAGAGACATCTTAAGTACTTAAATCTAGTTCACTGTGTAACCCATTCTGGGAGCATGGTGTACGATGGCGTTCAAAGTCGGCTCTGCGGCAGGAGGGTCCCAGGTTCTGTCCTGAGCCTCCTGCTGATTAAGCCTGTTAGCTCAAGCAAGTGACTTCAGTTCCCTGAGCTTCTGCCTGGGTGCATGCCAGGAGGGTATCAGGAGGATTAAATGAGATCATACACGGAGAACCCTGGGCCATGCCCTCAGCGGATTCGTATCTGGGCAGTGTCTACCATGTTGCAGGCCCTGATCTCGGCCCCCTGGCCAGCACCTCATAAGCACGCACTGAGCTGAGCAAACTGTAAGCATGGGGAAGAAGTAGTTCTGCTCTGGGGAAACCAGGACCAGTTTTAGAGAAGAAACAGCCTTTGAGCTGGACCGAGGGGATCAGAGATTGTGACATCAAGAAATAAACTGGGGGGGGGGGTGCCTGAGTGGCTCAGTGGGTTAAAGCCTCTGCCTTTGGCTCAGATCATGATCCCAGGGTCCTGGGATCGAGCCCCGCATCCGGCTCTCCGCTCAGCAGGGAGCCCGCTTCCTCCTCTCCCTCTGCCTGCCTCTCTGCCTACTTGTAAGCTCTGTCTGTCAAATAAATAAATAAATAAATAAATAAAAACATAAAAAAAAAAAAAAAAAGGAAATAAACTGGGGAGGGTAAAGGTCACATTTAGTGGTGTAGGTAATGACATGGTACAGAACTGAGAATCTGTTTACTGTCCAAGAGGGAGGCAGGGAAGGTTTTGAGCAAGACCCTCCCTTGATAAAGCCTGTTTCGTGAAGATCCCTCAAGTGGCCAGAGTGGGCTGGGCTGGGAGTCACATCAGGGTAGAGGCGAGAGGACATGCTAGGGTCCCGCTCGGAGATTAAGTGTTCACAGAGAAAAGCAGGTGTCACTCCTCTTGCTGCTGGGAGCACTGATACTATCTAACGAGGACCTGGGATCTGGAAACTCCTTGTAGAAAATGTAACCTTCTGACGGAAAGAGCTCCTTGCAAATCAGACGTGGCAGAGAGGAGCACACAGAGCTACCCAGCGCCAGAGCCTGGCTCCTCCCGGGATGGGGGTAAAAATAGAACTGTCTTCTGTTCTCTGGATTTTACAGGAAGGATTTCTATTAGTTCACTCACAGTGGCTGGGAACAGAGGGAAACCTTTAAAATGAAGGGAAATGCCTGTAAAATAGGGCGAACGCTAGTTTTTTTTTTTCCATAAAAGTTGAGTTTCACAGCATCAGTTAAATCCAGTCAGGAAGAAGCAGGTGTGCAATTAAAATTTAACCTCAAAAGACCTTCCGCCTTTCCTGAAACACCCCGAAGAGAACCTGATTTTTACACCTTACATGAGGAGAGCTGGATCTCATGGGAGGGATTCGGATCCGTTGGAAAAGCTAATCAAGCCCACCGTTAAGTGAAATAACAAGTCCTTCCAGTTACGAATTGGCTGTCTGTCCCCAAATGTGTCGTGAGCATCACAGCTCACGCACACATTCTCTGTTTTTCGGCAATGTTCCTTTTATCCGTTTGTAGTTTGTGCATTTGCTTTAAATGGCAGTTCCAAACAAATCAGAGTCATGATTACGTTACACGCATTAATATTTGTGGTGTTATCAACAATAGCCATGTAGACAGTCACCACGGTGTGAGAGCTTATTGCATTTGTGGTATTATGGACAGCAACTGGAGCATTTATGGAATCGTGACTTTTTGCCTGACGCTGTCCTTGAAGCCACTTTGGGCTACGCTCAGGAATCCTTAGAGCCCCTGGGGAAAGTGCTGGGACCCACCTTTCCCAGGTGTCAGCCCTTCAGAAGCAACAAGAGGCTAAAAACGTACCCATGTCCTGTAGCTTCTGGGAGCTCCGCTGGGCTTGGAGCCCGGGGGCACCAGCCTCACTGGCGGCCTCTAACCTCTGGGCCCTTCTCCGTTTGGATCACCTCCAGCTCGTCCTCCTCCGCCCAGCTGGCTTTATGACTGCTCTCTGTGCTCACTGTTCCGAGCCCACCTTCATCCTGTCACCTCTGCGTCCCTCCCTAGACAGAAACATCTCTGCGGAGAGGGCCATGGTTGCGTCCTCTGGCCCCCCTGCCACCCTACCACCTAACGTTCTGGCCGCTGTGGGGCGTGTGCCTGGTACATATTTGCATAAATGAATTAAATGGAAATATAATGGGAGCTTTTGTTCCCTGTCATGATGTTAAGCAGGAAGGTGGGTTGCCGGCTGGACTAAATCCTTCCAGGATTATTTCTTGAGCACCTGTGCCAGAGGGGGCTATGGTTGTCCCTTCCTCTACGGGAGGACAGACGGAGGCTCAGGGAGGGGTAGAGTTGGGGACTGTGCCCCGAAGTAGAAGCAGGACCCAGACTGTAGCAGGTGAACCCCCGTCCTTCTGGCTTGGAGCCCATCCCGTCTGTCCCTCCGGTCCCGTGGCCTGGGAGCTCTGCCTCAGTTTCTCTAGGCAGGCACGTGCTTGGCCTTCAGGGGTATTTCTTCATCCACTGAGCAGGACAAGTGCCATTTTACCTCCCAGGATCTCATGCCAATTGTGCTGCCTTGTCAGGTCGGCATCCTGGGGGTGGGGGGCCACCTACTTCTAAATGGCTAATCTCACAGCGCCCCACTAATGGCCCCAAGGGGCTGAGCTCATAGCCCCACGCCTTTCTTCACACTGTTTTTCTCCTCTTCAATCCCCCTGCCTTTCAGTTTTACCCGTCCGGGAAGAGGCTCCTGGCTTGGTAAAGGCGGGCCAGACACGGGACCAGAGCAGTCCAGCCTCTCTCTGGAAAACCTGGTCTTCGGAGCTGGATACTGCAAGCCGACTTCTTCCGAGGTAAGGTCCACACGGGATGTGGCCTCAAGGCCACCCTCAGTTTTGTAGGCGTGGTATGTGTCCCTTCCTCTCACCTGTCCATCCATTCCTGCCTTTTTGTAAAACATATTGCCAATGCCAGGCTCTGGGGTATACACCAGCCCCAGGGTCCTCACACACATCTCTTCTGGGTGGTCCCTCGTGAGGGCGTGTTGTGAGGGGTTTCCCTTGGACCGTGTGGGAACCTGGAAAGTCCCTTGGCCTTGAACTGCTTTCAGACCCCGGCTCCGTCTCTGTCTTGCTCACTTTTCTGGGCCTCAGTTTGCCTCCTGCCAGGTGAGGTCATGGAAACGTAATTATCTTCCGGGGTGGTGTGTATAGCCGTTGGCTGTCATGAAGGTAAAATTCCTAGCCCGGCGCTGGTACTCAGTAGGGGCTCAGCAAATATGCATATCCCGACCTTTCCCCTGTTCTTTCTTCTCCATCAACACCCATCCTTACCCTCTGTGAGGTGCATGTCTTTGGCCACACGCAGCATCACTGCCTGTATCTCTGCTGAGCCGACACAGGATTATTTTTATCAGGGACCTGTTCAGAAAGGACCAGCCCGCATGAGTCTGGTTTCCCTGGAGAGACAGAACCAACAAAAGATAGAGAGATGGAAGAATGGATTATAGTATTTCCAATGACATTGACATATTTATGTATATACGATGTGAAAATATAAAGCGATCTGTTGGAAAGAATTGGCTCACATGATGTTGGAGACCTGTCCCCTGCCGGCTGGGGACCCGGCAGAGCTGAGCCGGTGGTGGGATTCCAGCCTGAGGTCCAGTGTGCAGACAGGAGAACACTGGTGTCCCAGCCAGAAGGCAGGCAGAGAGAGGACATTCTCCCACTCAGATTCCTCATGGTCGGCTGACGCCCATCCACGTCGGGAGGGCAACTCCGTACTCAGCCTGTCCACCCCTGCTGCTAAAGGAGGTCCACGCTGTCCTGTGCAGCCCTGCCCCCTACTCCTGGTGCCCGGCCTAGCGGGGTCTGCACTTGGCTGGCTCTCCTGTGAGGTCAGCTCCCCAGCCTGAGCCCCAGCCAGGAGGCCTGGCTGCAGAAGTGTGTTCTGGCCTGGCCCGCAGTCATGCGTCCATCTGGTCCAAGCCTCTCTGTCACAGGAGAAGCTGAGGAGTGGGTTGCCAACCCTCCTGC